CATTGCTGTTGTGTTGATCTTGGAGGAACTAGGCTGGACCATGCACATATAGAAACATCCCTCTTGTTGTACACAGCCTAGCAGAGGGGAGGCCATTGCTGTTGTGTTGATCTTGGTGGAACTAGGCTGGACTATGCACATATAGAAACATCCCTCTTGTTCTACACAGCCTAGCAGAGGGGAGCCCTTTGCTGTTGTGTTGATCTTTGTGAAACTAGGCTGGACCATGCATACACAGAAACATCCGTCTTGTTCTACACAGCCTAGCAGAGGGGAGGCCATTGCTGTTGTGTTGATCTTGGAGGAACTAGGCTGGACCATGCACATATAGAAACATCCCTCTTGTTGTACACAGCCTAGCAGAGGGGAGGCCATTGCTGTTGTGTTGATCTTGGTGGAACTAGGCTGGACCATGCATTCACAGAAACATCCGTCTTGTTCTACACAGCCTAGCAGAGGGGAGGCCATTGCTGTTGTGTTGATCTTGGAGGAACTAGGCTGGACCATGCACATATAGAAACATCCCTCTTGTTGTACACAGCCTAGCAGAGGGGAGGCCATTGCTGTTGTGTTGATCTTGGTGAAACAAGATTGGACTGTGCATACACAGAAACATCCGTCTTGTTGTACACAGCCTAGCAGGGGGGAGGCCATTGCTGTTGTGTTGATCTTGGTGAAACTAGGCTGGACCATGCATACACAGAAACATCCGTCTTGTTCTACACAGCCTAGCAGAGGGGAGGCCATTGCTGTTCTGTTGATCTTGGTGAAACTAGATTGGACTGTGCATACACAGAAACATCCGTCTTGTTGTACATAGCCTAGCAGAGGGGAGGCCATTGCTGTTGTGTTGATCTTGGTGAAACTAGGCTGGACCATGCATACACAGAAACATCCGTCTTGTTGTACACAGCCTAGCAGAGGGGAGGCCATTGCTGTTGTGTTGATCTTGGAGGAACTAGGCTGGACCATGCACATATAGAAACATCCGTCTTGTTCTACACAGCCTAGCAGAGGGGAGGCCATTGCTGTTGTGTTGATCTTGGTGAAACTAGATTGGACTGTGCATACACAGAAACATCCGTCTTGTTGTATACAGCCCAGCAGTGGGGAGGCCATTGTGGTGTACAACAAGAGGGATGTTTCTGTGTGTACATGGTCCAGCCTAGTTTCACCAAGATCCACAAACAGCATCAACACTACAGCGATAAGGTCTGCTGGCTTGTGTCTATTCCTTATTAGTTTCATCAACAGAATCAACACAACTGCAATGCACACACAGAAACAATCCTCCTTAGACACAACCTAAGTGTGGAGGCCATCACTGTTGTTGATATTGGGTGAAGCTAGGGTGGACTGGATCATACACACATCACCCAAAAAGTGCTGTTCCATTCCCATTGATGTCCATGCTGCCCATGGGTGGTGGGGTAGCACAGTGGTTAAAGTTGAAAACTTTGGTTCAAATCCCAACAGCGTTGTGAAAGCAGTGTAAACCTAGACCCACTTACTCCCTATACTTCCACATGATGTTACTGTGTAGAAGAGCAAGAACACTTTGCATACATACAAACATTGTACACCATCTATTCCATTGGGCAAGTAGTATTTTTGGTGGGTTTTATTTTTTTATAGATCTCTTGCACTCAGTCCTTAATAAAAAACTGAAATAATTGCTTCCTGAGAAAATAATTAAAGTTATGTTTAACTAATCCAATTTCATTACAAATTGTAAACTCAAAATCTTCATTGAAAACATTCTTATTACGAACATTTTGTTCGTGGTTTTTAAAAGAAATTGTGTCTCAAATCAAGATTTGATCCGGGGTAGAATAGGTCATCAGCAACCCATGCTTGCCGTAAAAGCCGACCATGCTTGTCGTAAGAGGCGACTAATGGGATCGGGTGGTCAGGTTTTGCTGACTTAGTTGATGCATGTCATTGTATCCCAGTTGTGTGGATTGATCCTGCTGATGTCAATCACTAGATTACTGGTCCAGACTCGATTATTTACAGACTGCCATCATATAGCTGGAATATTGCTGAGTGCGGCATTAAACAACAAACAAACCAAACCAATCAAATACCCTGACATCATTTGAATATAGTTTAAGTAGCCTCATGCATCTTAGCATCTTTACCAAAGAATCCATAAATTCATGTGGTAGAAAAATAGCATAACCTCGAGGAGATCACATTGTGAAAAAAGAATTTGAGAACTTTTGACAAATATTTGTTGGCCAAGAAGATGTGTCACTACAATGGGGCTGAGTGTTACTGGACAGGCACCATGTCTGGCCTTGCACTCTGTATGGCTGATGTATCTATGTTTGAAGTGATTATATACAAGGTGTTGTAGGACAACAGCATTTACTAGAAAATGGCTGTAGCCTTGAAGAATCATAAATGGCTTATTGAAGACGTCTGGCAAAGATGTAAAAGGATTGGCACCTATGGAGTCCTGAGGATAACATGAAAGTAGAGCAGAAGTAGGCCAAAGTGATCTGAAGCCAGGTTCACTTTCACCAGAGGCTGCTGAACTCCTTAGTGCATAGCCAGGGCCAACAAAAAACACCACCCAGGAAAAAAGCCCCAAGATGCCGACTACAACAAAAAAGATAATTGTTTATGCCTCATCCCTGCCTCATCCCCACTACATTGCCCTACCCTCCGCCTACTGAAATAGAAGTTTGGCGAATTTCCTAGACAGGAGCTTGTAATCATAAACTCTGAATTGCAGCAGCAGCCGAAGCAGATTGGTCTTCTCATTGATGCTACAGGCCAACCCATCAACTGAGACCTGCCATCAGACCAGGTACCCACACCTGAATCAGTGGGTTGATTTCAGTGTGGGCTTCATTTCAGGGTTATTTTGGGACTAAATGAGAAGTTGATTGTCTGATGAGTGCAAGCAACTGTTTGGATTTCAAGATGAACAACTTCATAATTTGCACATACAGATGACAGTAAGAATGTCAGTGCTACAATATGGATTACTTTGTTTAGCATCCTTGTTCATCGATGAGGAATGTTGTTTTATAACAACAGTGCATATAATTGTTCAAAATTTCTAACCGATATGAATTATTTTGATATTCTGTGAAATATTGTACTTAAAGAATAGAACATAACAGAATGACAATGTTCTGTTACTGAATATCACATTGAAAGTACTGTGAGCAGTTGGTCACTGCACTGATTACACTGGTTTAAATGATGTAAAGCTTCAAAGCCAATACCGGTGTTTGTAATGCACGGTTTCTACATCATCAATCAGGTTAGAGAATCTTATTTCAGTGATGAATTTGTGTTGGTGAAATATTCCCACTCCTTCAAGAAGCCGAAGCTAATCTGGTATCTTACTCATACTATATTCAGGCACCAGCTATTAGGAAGCACTAAAAAGATTTGACAAATGAAAATTTGACATTAGTCCATCAATGGTGATTTAGAGTGTTAGTTGCCTCTCTTTATCACTGCTGGGTTGGCAGAAGAAACCACCCAAGACATTAGAAAAGCACTTGACATTGCTTCTAGTTGATTGATTTTGGGAGAAGGGTCGAAAAGCTGGCACAAGTTGAAAGTTGGCCTATCTGCTATTGGATCATTGATTTGATCACTTGGATAATGTGTCACATGCAATACATCCTTGTTTGGATTGGTCAATCAATGACCACCAGTAACACCAATACTGCGGTCATTGTACACCCTCCGCTTCAATCTGTGCCCCATCGTGTCAACAGTTACGAGAACGTTCAAAAAGATTTAATTTTACTTCTAAGTCATTGCCAGTCACTTTGCTAATTGAAACTGTAAAATAACTGTCACTTTCCATTTGATTGAACTCTTTCAAGTGAAAATGTTAGGAAATTGGAATTGGTGTTCAGACATTTTTAAAGGCTAATTTGATTATCTGAAAGGCTTTCAGTGGATTGTCTTGCTGTTTTCAAGTCTGAATCAGTCTGGGGGAACATCCCTCAGTAGCAGTTGACAGTCGCAATTCCTTCATATTGCTTTCATTCAATTAACTTTATAGATTGCATGTTAAGTTTGCAAATACAGCTATGATTCATTCTGAAAGCATTAACCACTCTTGCATCCCAGCCTGCAACCAAATGCAAACAGCAGCTTAAAATTCATTACATATTAAATAATAACCAATAAGATCAGCCAGCATGAATAAGTCCCAAAAGGCTAACTCTTCTTTGACACTGTCAGTGAAATAAATGGTGAAACCACAACATGTATGACAATAAAGCACTAAGTGTTACATTATTGTGTTTCTCCTTTGTTTCCTAAAGGTCTGGGAAGAGACTGTGTATGTGTAAGAGGGAATATTATCCTACCCTATTTTTTTATCCCGGGGATGAAATTCTATAGCGTCAGGATGATTCTCCCAAGTGAATTTGAGCCCATACCAGTGTGGCAATAAGGAGGATACTATTCTCTAGAGTAAAACTTCCCCCGGGATAATATTTAGGTAGGTTATAATCCTTGCTTACATACGTTATCTGTTGTATGATGGTTGCTTGTATGCAAGCCTCATCAAATGGATCAAATATTAATGCACAACTTGTCTTTACTACACCTACTGCTGAGGTTCTATGGTAGGTCATGATACTGGACCAAATACAGAACTATCACCCATGGCTTTGACTAGTTATTGACCTGACCTAATATACAACCAATGTGTGATCTCTTGTTTTTTGAGTGATATTAATGCAATGCTAACGAGGACTGATGTTCATATAAAAAAAAAAAAAGTCAATCATGCTCAAGGCGATTTTTTAAAATGTATATGTTTCCTAACTGCCTCCGTTTAGGGTTGTACCATTCAAATTATTGCACCTTGTTAGACTGAGATGTAGGTGATTTTACAGTGCCGTCTTCAGGTAACCATAGAAACAAGACATGGCTATAGCCATTCCATTCTGAATACCTGTCACCCGAGGTATTGTAGACTCCATGTAGTGATGATATTGAAAACAGACAACATTGACTTCAAATTTGAAAAAATAAGTGATTGTGACCTCTTTATTTAATGATATCGAGAAATACCAATAGTATTAATAGTATAGAAGTAATAACAGTCATATATACAATTTCATTTTTGCTATAAATATACATATTATGTACATACAGACATCACAGGCATACAGGAAAGCTGTGCAGACACAATGTGTAGATGATGCATGGCGAAAACGAACAGTGATAGATGAGTGAGTGAAAGATGGTCACATGACTCGTGGTCACATGGCATACTAGAGACATGTCACAAGACGCCCTTTTTTTGCATGAAAACTGACATTGTTAAAGCTCACAGTGGTGATGCTCATGGGGAGATCAAAACTTCCATTGTAATTCTTTTTGAAGGCATAACAAGTTGGATGTTGTTTTTTTCAGAAAGTCATAACAAAACCATTAATAACAAACACACACCAAAATAACATACTTTTTTCTTCCTTGGTTAACAGATTTTACAACTGGGAAGTTTTGACATCGAAAATCGAAACATGCCATGAGCATACCAGGGATTTGCCACCAGATGAGTCAATGGAATGATGGGAAGAATAAATAACTGCATCTTGGTATTAAAGGTTGGGGGCACCTGTACACCCCTACCTCCCCTATCTTTGTTACAGTGTATTTGTTCAGCCTACTGTAAAACTGTGTGGGGTATGCTTTGATTTCCATCCAATAAAATTAAATAGTTTCTATTTTCTATAGCTTGTATCAAAATTTGTAAGCATCACAACATTTCAGATATTTCAAAAATAGATTCTAATCATTTCATATTATCTTATATATAAATATCTTATTACATGAATTATTTTAAGCTTTCAGTACACTCAGTGAGAAACTCACTGAACATATTGAAGTTGTCTTCTTAAAGCAAAAGCAGTTCACATGCATTTTCCACAACTGTTATACTAATCCAAACTTTGAGACAAACTATAGTTAATTTCACAGTCATAACTGATTGGAGAACAGCAACAACTGACTACCGTGGGTGAGCAGACCTCACCGGTAATTTGTCAATAACTTAATCAACTTGGTCAATTATTACAATCAACACATCAGTTTCCATGAGAATTCTATACAGTAGTTTTTACACAAGCGGGTTGCTGTCAAAGTGCCATACTTAACAATCTACAGTGGTATTTATAGTGTGGGTATTATGACAAGCAATCAACTAATGGTATTCAAAAAAAAAGATCAGAAAACATTTCTGAACGCTTATTTTGTCATCGCGTCACAGAATCGTAAATTGTACCAACGACACTTGGACAGCGACCCTGGCAACTATTATAATTATCATCATCGTCATCATCATGATGCAACAATCTGTACAGTTCTCTGTGTGTAACGCAATTTAACAAGACTAGAAAACCACATAGAGCCAGATAGATAGGTCCGTGAGCTGGGACAACTCTGCCTTATTGGGCCATGTTACAGGCAAATACTTTTTATATTGGTTTGAACAGATTGCACAAAAATGTACCAAGTACTGGAAATAGCACACAAGAAACTGCTGTGAAGGACACACGGAACAAATCCACTGTTTGGTAGTGTCCAGTACAAGTCCATGGAAATGATGAGTCCTCCCAAGATGGTGAAGCAGTAATGTCCTCATGAATAGTCACATGATCAGTGTCAACCAATCAGACTCACACCCAACAAGTCTTAACCAATCATCAGTTGGCATGAAGCAATGCATTGTGGGAAGGAACGTTGTCCATGGGAAGTGGAAATGGCAGTGGCCCACAAGGTGTCGATGTCCACCTGTCGGTATTGGTCTCGGTATTGTCCTCACTGCACTGGTTTTATGGAATTATATTCCGATGTATATTGAAACTCCCAGTCCAATGAGATAATTTCTCATAAATATGCCCTCATATTCAATCGCAGAATGCAAGCACATTGGCTTTGTCCACGTCATTGTTCCACAAAGCTTTGCATAATATTGTACAAGGCTCCGAAGCCGTCTGTTAAACAACACATTATAAATAATCTCGTATAAACAACAGCATCCAGGCAGCTTCTTCAACTGTACAACGTTCATATTGCATCTCTATACAAAACAAAGGCACTTAAATAACACTGACAAATCATGCGGTGTGTATTTTACAGCAATGCACTGATGTATGCTGGAGTCACTGTCTCACACTGTTAGACCTCCGTGGCCAACACTTCCTCACAATGTGAATGGCGATTGGGGGGCTCTAACACTAAAATAGAGTTTCTGTTTGTCTCTGAATAGGAAGGTTTTGCAATATTTTCTTCTAAGTCCCGCGGACTGTAGTCACTGAAAACAGAGAGAAGAAATAATCAGCATCTGGTAAAACCCACATAAAAAATATAAACATTCAATTGCCTGCTCACAAACAACATACAATACTTCAAATGATTGACAAGAATTCAACAAAACACATTTACAGTGAAACTTTGCCAGATCTTGAACAATTAACAAGATAATTATTATTTCACCATTCTTATCAGGCATTGTCAACTTCTTTGTTAAACCAGCATGAAAACACTAACAGATTATTAATACAGTAAAGTTTGTAAAATGTCCAACTTACCTAATGGAACTAGAATCCACCGGAGAAGATGCTCCCAGGTCCAACCTCCTGGTAGGTTTTTCATAATCATAATCTAAGTCTTTTGGTAAGTATGTTGGTGACTGATCATGTGTATTTAAGTCTTTCGTAAATTGTCTGCTATTGGATTTTTCTAAAAGATGTTTTGAATTTTTTCTATTTAAGTCTTGTTCCTCATTGCTATTTTTAATACTTGAACTATTTGAAGTGCTCTGAGGGATTGTTGTAAAAATGTGAGAGTCCACACACTTGACACTTGAGTTGTTGATGTTGTTGACAATATTTTGTTGCCGTTCTATCTCCATATTTTCATGCATCATGTGATGACGCTTGCGACACAAGCACACTGTCACCAGAACAATGATGAGCACGAGAGGGACTCCAGATCCGACACAGATGATGATGAGGAGCTGTGTGGTGGTCAGTCCATCCTCCTGATGACCAGTGTGATGAGCCGACTCGACTGCAGTATGGTTGCCTTCTGTAGTCTCCTTCACAACAACCATCTGTGTAGTTTCAGCAGGAGCAGTTGTCTGAGTAGTCTGTTCGACTCTTGGTGTGGTCTCGCCTTCTACATATTGGCAGTTGTTGCCCCAAAATCCCTCCGTACATTTACAGATGTAGTCGCCAACATGGTCCTCACAACTTGCTCCATTCTGGCAAGGTCTCGACTCACATTCATCAATATTTATCTCACATGTTTTTCCAGTAAATCCAATAGCACAGGTACATGAAAAATCATTGATCCTATCATGGCAGGAACCACCATTAGCACATGGGCGCACGATGCAGTCATCAACATTGCTCTGACATAAGGGTCCAACAAAGCCTGGCACACAGCGACAAGTGAAGTCATTGAAACCATCCACACAGGTTCCGTTGTTGAGACAAGGGTTCTGGACGCAGTTGTCCTCGTTCTCTTCACACGTCCGACCACTGTATCCAGTATTGCAAACACAGCGGAATCCATTTAGCTGGTCAATACACCGACCTTCTGCAAAATAAATTAACCACATTATTATCATATGCTGGAATGGAAACACTCTAAATGTAATCATGCGTACAATCATGTAATAAACGAATGGCATAGAAATCCATAGAATGACCTTCAAATATTTAAATTAAATTAAACGTACCATTTTTGCATGGGTTGCCTGCACACTCATTTTTCTCATTATCGCAGTTGAAGCCTTCATATCCGAGGGGGCAGATGCACTTGTAGGAGTCCTTGTCTTCAACACAAGTTCCACCATTACTGCATGGCTTGGTCTCACAGGAGTTAGCTGTGTTCTCGCACTGTCTGCCATAGAAGCCTTGAGTACAATCGCACAGGAACCCAGTGCCAAAGTCCTGTAACAAACCAACAGTCAGTAAATGTGACTACTCAAAAGAAAAGCGTTTTCCTGAACAGTTACATCATATGGTGTATTTATTGGAAGTAAAACAATATTTTCATAAATTTTAGATACATGCCGATTTTAACTTTATCAGAAACACGTTTTACCAAACTTACCCTGCATGTGCCTCCGTTCTTACATGGCTGGCGCTCGCAGTCGTCAATTTCTATCTCACAGTTGGTGCCTGTGTACCCTGTGGGACAAGCACAGGTGTAGCTGCCCTGTCCGGTATTGGTACATGTGCCGCCATTCTTGCACGGCTTGTGATGTGTGCAGTAGTTGAGATCTACAAGGAAACAGCCGTTTGTTACAAACGCTCATGCATAAACAAGTTTTATTGGAACATAAACAGGAACTTGGTTATCGACTAGTCCATAAGTAACCCTGATTCTTGAGCAAGGTAATACTTCTGTCATGACAACTAATACGGAAAAACTACAGCACGTTACGTCAGATAATACTGTGTGTTGATAGTCGCGGCTCTATCGATCATTGTAACACACAGTTTGTCAATATAGCAATATGGGCGCTATGACGTATGGCCATGTTTCATGTCATGTCAAACCGCCTTAGTCAGCCAATGAAATGCGTCACCTAACTGCCAGGAGTATTTGCCATATTCGAGGCTAGTTCTAGTCGTTGAAACGAAGCCGATCATCACATCAAATTGGCCAACCATTATGCAAACTGTGGATATTTGCCACAATTTTACATCAGATTACATAATAATTTGATAATGTTCCAGCAATGACTAAGGCTTAAAATCGTTAGCCTGTCACGTAACTTAATATTGCAATGTCAAAACACAACCAAATCATGATCTCTAGTCTCTTTGAAAAATAGTCATTTGATGAAAATCAATAAAAACACAACCAACTGGCCTTAGCTAGCAAAGTGCTACGGTATTGTTTCAGAAAACCAATAACATACAGCATTAGAAGGGATAATTATTGTGGGGAGATTGTTGTGGGGAGATTGCTGTAGAAACACACCTTGGTTGCAGAAGAGGCCGCCCCAGCCCTCCTCACAGTTGCATTCCCATGGTTTCTTGCAGGAGCCGTGTTGGCACCCCGGGTAGGGGATGCACTGGTCACAAAACGTACCCTGGTAGCCCATGCGGCATCTGAAAACGAACAAATATTAAACTACTTGTATCATACTAAGCCTCTAACACTAAACATGTTCAGCTAATCCCCTTTTAACTTCCAATTTCGGCTGACTTAGATAATATAATATTTTAACAGCAGAACACACAGCTATGTTATGATGCCTCTGGCTAAATATTCACCTGTTTACTTATTTCGGTAAGGGGGTTTACCGGTAATCGTGCTGACACGATTCAATTGTGTTGCACTGAAGGATTACTTTATTACCGAATATAACATGGTCGCCCCTGTACTGTTAACAGAATGTTGAGGAGAACCCCTGCTTGAATATTTCCGTTTAGTTGGTTCATTTCCGAAAGACATTAAACACAAGATGTGCTCGGCTGGCTGGTCAAGATCGCTGGCAGATCATATAAATCACCGTAAAACAACCCAGCGAGGATACCCAGCCAGACAAGTTGCGTTAATGTTTGCACACAATTAATTAGTATACGCCTTGAAACTGAAACGATGCTGATTGGAATTTCATGCCACGAGTCCCTAGCGCATTTGAGAAGATGGTACACGAATTTTACTGGGTACAGACAGAAGAGATTGGAACTTGACGATGCAACTTCACACGCGGAGGATGCGCAGGCATAACGTCAGAGAGGATCAGATAATCTGTACAGCAACACGCAACTTTCCCACGCTGCCCCAACTGTTCCCCGACTTCAAGTCGCGTGCCTCCGTCCTCGCCGGCTGTTTCCTTAACCATATGTGATGCAACTTTTAAGGCTGGTAATATCCAGGCATTTATTTCGGGAACGCGATCCCGTTTCGATAGACCCGATAGCCACCACGGCGAGATAGCTCTTTTGCAGACAAACGAAGAAGAATACTCACTCGCATTCATTGGGCTGGTCGCAGAACCCGTTATCCTTGTGACAATCCGGCAGGCAGATAGCTGCAACAAATAGATATGATGTTACATTTCTGTATCATATGCGTTTTATAATAAAACATGGCGCAATGTGAAAAAAATATATTGCCTAAAGACTACACCATTCTGCACTGATGTGCCTGCCCCTCTTTTAATGTTTAAATATATCAAAAATTGCATTGGCGGCAACTTGTAAACTGTTGCATCTGCCCCCGTTCAAATTAGCAAGCGGCTGACAGTAGACGCCTCAAGGTCTTTTATTGTAGCAAAGCTTCCAAATTTAACCCGACCATGGACTAATTACTAGACATTATTTAGTTGCAGAAAATTATCATCTGCTGCCGAGTGGACCCGGGGATTGAACGATTGGGTTATGGCGGGAAGTGAGAACAAAAGATCAGCGAGTAGGGCTTTGTTGAGGCCCTGCTCCTATCAATTAGCGGCACTGAAAGAGCCGAGATCATCAAGTGTCACTCCCCTGGTCGGAGCGGACTCGCCGATGCTATTGTGGTTGACCAGCTGCCCGGTCCAGGTGGATGACCAACATCTGCATACTGATGGAATGTCCCTACCCAACTAGCCTTTATCCACCCTACCTATAATTTTGTTTAACAACCATATGCAATATGGGTATAGGTAAACCAAAGAAAATATATGTATTGCCTTTGCACCATCGGTTGCTACTTTTTCCCCTGGGCTGGAGCCGGCCAGGTGTAAAATCCCCCCCTCCCCCTCCCCGATAGACACACCTATCAATTGTCCATACTGACAACACTACGTCAGCTGTCCTAGATGCCTGCACCAGAAGCTCACGTCTTATGGTGGAGTAGTGTTACCTGCCCTGAGAGTCTTATCTTAGATCGTTTGCACCCATATCATGTCTTGTTATCTCTGATTACCAGCCTACCAGCGTAAGAATACATGAGACCTGTACAACAAGGTTAATATGTCAGCTAAGAAAAAAACAACGTCTTTTACGCTTCAGCGCGCGTTGAATATGCAACAATCACGTTCAGTTGTGTTTGATCAGCTATGAAACTGGCCGACAAGTTTGCATTTTCGGGCACCCAACCCCAATACGTGTGTTACAACTGGTAATACACTCGGCGACCGAGCGTGCGATTTCCCGGGACTATTGCCAAGAGAACGCGCCAATTTTTGTTATGATAATTCGGTCGGCACGCGACTTTTCTTTTGAAAAATTATGCCTATATCGACCGCAAAGACTGCAATGCAAACACTGACGGGATCAATAAACCTGACCTAGATATGGTTTGGGACCCCTGTCCTTCCATGCATACTGGGGTGCGGAGGGGTAGGGCCCCAGGCAAGATGGGGAGACTGCGCATGAGGTAGGGAGCGAACCCTGCCATGGAGGGAGGTATGCATGCCTAGCAATGTGAATGACGCCCTCTTCAATGGCAGGCTTATTGAATGCTGAGCTACTTTCAATACTAAAGCCCTTACTCTCATGCTGAAGTGAGCGTGATGTTCATTTGGTGCAACAGATGGCTTGGCAAATTAATGCATACTCACTAAGTCTCCCAGTTACACACAGAGAAAATTGTTTCGCCATCCCTACACAGGCATTTTGTGAAGGAAACGCAAAGCGAGCCTGTATCAGAGGCTGTCCATTATAAACATCTGAAAATCTTGCATCTTGGTGAAGTGTTTTAGATCATATCGTCTGCCCGTCGGGCGCATGTATCACAGAGTGCGAACTGCTTCATAAATTTATCTTTATGGAACCTGAAGGCAGTTGTGTTTGGTCGTCCTGTTTATCATAAACAACCATATAAAGGGATTGATTTGTAAACACGCTGGCGCTATTAACTATGCACCTAATTAGTATCTGTCTGCAATCAAGTCAGTCAACGAAGAATCCGGCTTTTTATAGCTAGGGTGCTAGTCACCCTGGGGTGTCGGGTATTGACGCAGCCAAGTCGTAATTAACTCGAACTGCAATTAGGGACTCAATAGCTGTGAATTGGATCAGCAGTGTTTGATTCAAGTTGAGAGACAAGTCCTAGTATACGATTGTTCTATCGGAGCGTCCCTTCCAGACTTTGTAATCCGATTGTTGTCAATTCTGCAGACACTTTGACTGACCCAAATGTCACATATACCTTTCAACGAAACCTGAGAAATAGACCAACCTTCTGACCCCCTGTCATCCAAGCCCCGGGGGCATTTTTGTCTAGCTAGAATTCAAACAGTTTGAAATATACCCAGAACACTTCATTGATGGTGTTATCTCATGCCTACCTTCATCGCAGTAGTCCCCCTTCCAGCCGTTGAGACAAACTTTCTCGCCCTTGTCATTGCACGTGAAGTGACCAAATTTGTCATCCCTGGGACGGCACATCGTTGAACAACCAGAGCCGTAGTAGTAGTCGTCGCAGATCCAACGGTAGCCGTAGCCGAGCTGGGTGTAATTTGTGGTCCGGTTAAACCGCCGCCATGTTTCGCCGACAGGAGTGGATCTCTGTATAGCTAACCTGTCTATCAGTTCGCGTGGGCTATCTGGAATTCGAATAAAGGATATTTGTAAAAATTATTCATTCATAAACGACAATCAATGAAAACAAATGACATATACGGGTCATCTGGGTTAACAACATGTTGCAGGGACCTTTTTGTTTTGTCATAATGATTTGGCTGATTTCTCTAATTGGTTTCATTCGATCAATCCAATCTAAACACCGAGCTTTACGTCATAATACGATAAACACCACGTGACCTGTCTCTATTTGTGCAAAGCAGACGACCATACTACATGAAGCAGACGACAATACCGTCTGCTTCCAAATGTCAGAAGGGAACTACCTTTCACTGAACACAAACAATGTCTGGCTCCCAAACTCAACACTCACCAATTCATTATCTCAACCCATGCTGAACAATTCATTCATTCAACTAAAGTGTGTCTTATACACTTATTAACGAATTCTATGAATGTTAAAGTAAAGTGATTCATATCTAACAAGGGTTCTATGTTGTTTGCTAATCTCCGAATCCCTTCAGGACCAGTTGAGATTGTTAGACTGCCCATAGTCCTTGGTGTCTGTTTGTTTTAATAAAACATGTACAAGTAAAGATGACAATAGTTCTGATCAATGGTCATCTCCCCTTGGTCTCAAGATAACCTACTACAGAAATCAATACTTGGAAAGTCTTGCCGGTTAATTACAGGTGGCTAGTTCAAGTAGGCACCGACATCAACCAACAGGCGATGCTGTCATGGACAATGGTCCATGTTTGAACCTGGTTGAAAGTGGCTTTCTCCGGTATTCAACGGTTTATGTTCAACGAATAGGGTCAATTTAAGCTCACATTCATCAATAACAGGTTACCCTACGTCAATATAACGCCAATATAAGCTTAGGAGATAACCATGTTTAAATCGCGTGATGTTTTCAATAAGCTAGCGTTTATGTAGCTTCTGTGATGCTTGTGAGAAAGGGAGCTTGGTATAATGGCGTACTGGGATCATGACAAGAGACAGGTCAGCGAGGACTTACAGCTAAAGTCAGGACTTATCAATAACCTCACTGAAGAGCATTGCCACCAGAAACACATAAGACTTGTCAATGATACCTCTAAAACAATCTGTGTAAACTATACCTAATAAAACTAGTCTCTTGAGGCTTAGTCGCGTGTTTATGGCACCGATAATACCAAAATAATCCATCTTACATTGCGTAATGGTTTGTTTGTTGTTTAACACCGCACTCCGCAATATTCCAGCCATATGACGGCGGTCTGTAAATAATCGAGTCTGGACCAGACAATCATGTGATTGACATCATGAGTATCTATCCACGCAATTGGGATTCGATAACATGCAATTCAGCTAGCCTGACCACCCGATCCCGTTAGTAGATTCTTGCGACAAGCATAGTCGACTTTTACAGCAAGCATGGGTTGCTGAAGACCTATTCTACCCCGGATCTTCACGGGCCATGTTGCGTTATGGAAATATACCAACTGTTGCAGTACTGTCAACGTGTTGGATGTAGTCCTGCTGTAAGTCAGGTAGGCATCATGCGATAAAACTGTACTCAGTGACTCGTGCAGATAGCAGTCAATACTACATCGACGTTGTAGTAGGGTTTAATGTCTTGCGCTCGTCATCTTTCCGTTTCTATACTTGCAGCACCATCACCTATACCAGCGAGGTATTTGCGACTTAACCTAGATCGTCCACAGATAGGACAGTTCGTCTCCTCATAATCTTCCACGAGAGTAGGGATGACAAACTGCTGTTTTGCCCCCCACCCTCATCTGATAAAGTGTTATATACGCTTGATCTACCACAGGCATACAGAGCCTGGCTACCACATTGGCTGAAGAAGTAGCTGCTGGTGTTATTTAACATCTTGCCAGCAAAAGTATGGAGATCCGTTTGGGCTGGGTCTAAGAGTAAGTAATACGGAAGGCTCAATGGATGGTGCAACATATGGTTGAACTACTTTCGTGAAGCACTGCGCAATATTCACAACATATTTATCAATAATTCTCATCGACGAAATAGCATTGAGAAAGGCAATATTGTTTCTAGCTTGGAACTATATCAGGCTGTGATTGTGTTGTGGTTGTGTCTCCTATGGTCTGTTGTATATGGTAGTTTTAGTTCCGCTGACCCTGTAGATCTACTGTCTGTCTACCTGTGTACTCAGGCACGTGTGCTGATGCCAGCCATATCCTGTTATTTCAAATCTAACTTTATTTAGAGTTGTCAGTTGACCTTCCTTCACCTAAAGAGCTCGCGTGAAAAGTGTATATAGCTGTCAGGTCTTTGGGCATAATAGCAAGTGTTTACATGTAGTTAATATGCATGGGGATTTTAAGGCGGTAAAAATTCTCATGAAAACGAATCCACCGAATTTCATTTTCCCCCATCAACAGCTGTTTGTTTGAAACGCTGTCATGCTGTTGTTCTCGTGGGTTTAAATTACTCCTCTCGAGTCCTGTAAACAGCGTGGTTTAAGACATTTGCAAAACCACCGAACTGGGACAAAACCCAGGTAATTAATGGAATGGCATGGCGAAGCGAAATCACCATTGTACAGGTAAAGCCACGAGGGGGACAAGGGGGCAGTGACAGCGAGATGGGGATATCATACTCGCGTTGGAGGGGGCTGTGGGAAAATTCTAACAAACGCTGGGAATAAGAGGGTCAGCTGACTGTCCATTGAAGGGGAAAGGGGACTGACGAACCGGCGTGATAAAACCGAATGATCTCTCGGCAAGGTATGGGGTGAAGCTATTGTAAGGCCGGGTCACGGGCCGCGGGCTTTGGGGGGAAGCGTGAGAAAGGCGAGTGTGCTCGCTACACACCCCAGGTAAGGAGTATCAGGTGTAAGCGGAATCAGTGCCCAACGAGATTGACGTTGTCACCTGCCAGTCAGATGAAGTGCCCCTACGCAAAACATTATTATTATAGGGATAACTGAGGATGAGAGCCCCCCCAACCCCCACCCCACCCTTCCAGGAACTCTGTCCCAGTCTATGACAAGGAAAACCAAACTTATTTCGAAGTCTAGTTCTACTCCCTTATCTGAACACATGACCTGCTTAGCTATCAACATAACCTACATTACAAAAATACAACATTGCCAACAATGATTTTCCCACCAAAATACATACTCTTTACGCGTAATGCTAGTGAAGGAATGAATTAATACAAGCCCCTATTATCATATTGGGGTATGCAGTACTGCAACCTGGACAATGCCCCACACCTGAGCTTTGTGTGCAGCCGAGTCGAGCTGCACCAAGTGGATGTTTACAAGAACAGCTATCGCACCTGTCGCGTCTCACGGTCAGCGGTGAGCCCATTCCCTCAACTCGGCCGCACACCGGCCTACCGACCGCCCAACCACCCGTCTATCGACAATAACAAAAAAAACGAGAAGCCCCCCCGAACAAAGAAACGTGTTCTTTATGATAGCAGATCAGCGGGCCTTAAATTTAACTCAGGTGTAAATGTATTCAATGTTTATATGTAATGGGATTCATTCTGATACGGGGAGGCTACACATGCTAGAGTTGTAAAAACGATGATGATGGCGGCGACCGGCCCCATGTCCGTCATCTAACTATTACTGAAAATATCTTAAGTGTTTACGTTTTGAATTAAAGGTCAATGGTAACAGCAACATGGTGGCGTTCTGGCGTGGCAGTGACATGATGTAGTAGCTGGTGCTGTTGCAGCTGACGGGCCTACGGAACTAGGGATAGCGAAGGGAATAACATAGTCGACTTCAACCTGTAATGGCATACAACAATAATGTCGTGCAGCTTTGAAGTAGCTAATCGCCTCGAGTGTTGGGGGAGGTGGTGAGCATGATGGTCGGTGATGACAGATGGCGAATAAGCCGCTCTGCCCCCCCCCCCCCGGTAGATTGCCGACTCATACCGGGTGGATTGCTGAATTTTTGCATCGCCACTGGGGTGTAGCCATGAAACCCATGAAATTTGAACACAAATAGATAACACAATGTTACTTGTGTCATAACAAAAGCTACTTCCACAACCAGCTTCAACCATTTGTGGAGTGTCCACAGTTGCAGCGTTGTATATACCACATGTGCAGTGTGTAGCCATAGTACTGAATCCCGACACATGTTGAACAGCAATATAGATAAATAACACTATAGTATACGCGCGGTATACTGTTTATATGATGTATAAATATACACACTGCGCCCAAACAACCAGATGTTACATGTAATGATCCAGTGACACTGAAGCCAACAATGATCACAGTTCTTCTATGCAGGTAACATATTCAGACAAGGAACAGGTGAGTCAGTGCCGTGCATCTCCCCAGGTGTACCAGCTACACACAAGCCCCACGGGAGGTGGCAGGCAACAAGGTCATGGAATCAATGGGTTTGGTAAAATCTGGTGCAGAGGTGCAATATGTTCTGATTCAGTGTCAGAGCTACAGAATATTGGTGGCAGGAGGGGGTGATGGCGAGCGGTGTTAGGAATGGGCGTGGTGCCTGTAGCGGTGGTGTCTGGTAGGGTAGGGTGGGGTGTCGAAAGAGCGGTGTCTGGGAGAGAGGACGGGGCGCGTGAGTCCCTGCATACCTGAAGACCTACACGTTTCCCGCTCCGCAGCTGACATAGTGCTAGCTAGCAACATCTGCCGACAGCAACAATAAGAGAGATATTTTTTTTCTCAATGTCAACAGCTGTTCTAGCTAAATATTTTGCCCTTTTCACTTCTCCTGCCGTACTAAAACATCAAGGATGATGCATTAATGTTGTAAGGTGCGGTTGTGCTACGACCATAACGAATACGATCAAGGTATTTGATCAACCACATTTGGCTGTCAGGGAGGGAGCCAGTTTGAATGTAACTGAATTTGACCGACTCTTAGACGGGATATTTGAATAGGGTGGGTGATGAGACTTCGTTGGCTCTACTTTGTGGGCCTGCTCTGTGGGCTGTGCTCTCGCACGTCTTCCAAAGCGTGCTGTTCATTAGATGCGCCACACACCCTATCACCATCTATCTGTTAATTAAGATACGATCCTGGCCCAGGAGATAAGTTGTGGCGATAATTGACGGAGAAAACATGAGATAAGCAACGTTGCCTGGATCAAAGCACCTTGCGGTCCTACCTCTCGCTGTAGTACCCAAACCCATAATACTACCTACATCTTCTGGACCCATGATAAATCAAACGTTATCTACTAAGTTAGTAATTTGTAACACTGAAGATATATGAATGCTGAAATATGTGTCTACAAGCTTAGACGTCAAGTTGGCGAGTGACGGAACGTACTGAGTCAACCCTAACCTTGCTACACCAGGGACACTTAGCATGTGGGGTCAGTTACAGGAATATCGTTTATTGGTTTGAAAAAGAGGCAATGCTTAGCAAGGAAATACCAGTGAGCCAGTATCTTAGCCTCTTGTCCGCGTGTCAAAAAGTCATTCATATTTGGCGACTGGGGACCGACCGGGCAGTCGAGCTGGCGTGTTAAGCTGAGTGAAACGAGGAAGTGAAAGAGAAATGATGATGCATAGCAGATGGCAGACATCTGCAGCAGACAGCTACGAGGGGACGAGTGTTGGGATGTCCTGGATCCCCCTGAGCGGAGACTCCCCTCTCTCCCCACTTCCCCTCACCAGCTAGCCACGTGCCTCGGCTGTCTGTCACGAGAAAGGGCCCCTCCTATATCCGCCGGTCGTCTGCTGAAGCGTGGAGGTCGCGAGCTGTGATGACAACCACCAACCTCCAAAACCTATCCAGCACGCTGTCGCTACAGACGCATTAACTCTAACATTAACGATGAATAACAGTGGAACGTTACTTCCTAATATAATCTTGGACAGAATCGTGTTCTTAACCCCTGTCTCATGCTGTGCCTTAACGACTAATTAACACTGACGCATTACGTGACTGTGAAGTTACGATAGTAATTTGTTGACAGACGTTACCAAGGTGAATAGTTAACGACGTTGACAACAACAATCATCGTTGTCATAAAGTCAATGCGATTATTTGCAAATGTTTCAAAGTCGGCAACATCAAGAGATGTTCTTTCTTGCCATTTCTCAATTCATCCATTGCCATAGCCTCATCATTAGCAGTTCTGCCCGATTAGGTTTGAATTGAAGGCTATTGGAACATCAGCGCACCGAGTGGTCTGCTCTCTTTGTTCTAACGACAGCCTCCCGTGCAGCCCCAGGCTGCATCTATCAACAGCCCATAAAACGGGTCCCATATTTTTTAAAGATGGTCTGATAAAATTTCAGTTTGGGGAAAAAACGTATGAGGGCACGCGCCTGGCAGCACTCCTGCTCGGTGTCGATCACAGCCTGACAAAGAAGGTCCCCTACAGCTAGGACGGAGGAAAATAGACCACAACAGACGATACCTGCAATCCACCACAGCCCGACACCCTACACAACCCGACACCCTACACAACCCATTAGTATGAACACTAACAGGAATAGCCGAATACCACTTTCAATCACACTTTGTAACGAAGTAAGGCTATCCACATAGTTGGGTATGGGGAGCTATGTGATGACATTTGTGTCTTGAACCTAGTGTCATGTTGAATTTTCTATTAGCTGTGTGATAGAGTAGGGGCTTTTTTCATCCGATGGAGAGAGCCGACAATAGGAGATGACCCCGAGATAGACACTCGAGGTCTGCTAGGATGGAGAGACAGTCATCCCTAGTAGGTTAACTCTGATATGGGAAATATACTCCCTAACATGTAAACATGACTTACCGGTAGCAGGACCAGTGAGGGTTGCATCATGCCAAGCCTCCACGATAAGGGAAAATGAACCCTGCAAACAGAAGGAAAACCTTTATAATACCTTAGCTTCATTTGACTTAAGACTCTCATATGCCTAGTACAGAACTACATGTATAACCTGTCCCAAACAAGACTAAGACTAAGACCGGCAAGCTGTTGCATTCTCTTTGACTTTCAAGTACAGATCAATATTAAGCTACGACTAACGCGCAAAATATGTGACAGATTTATATGGTCTTCATACGTGTTCAAAACAATGTAGTAAAAGGTTAGAAGATGAAATGGAGGTAATATAAGGTAGACACGAAGACCCTAAAGCTAGATGTGGCGTACAGTTGATGTGGTTGAACCAACTCTCTATGGAGATGCTGGTCCGTGTTTCTAGGCAGCAGAAGTGGAACACCTCTGTTATATCACTGGTAGCAGGAGCCTGCTGTACAGGGATGCCGTAACGATTCCAGGTACTCCCAACTATAAATAGATGGAAATGTAGTGAAGATATTTTTAACTTACCGGCCATGAATACCCGATGTGAAAACTGATAGGGTTCTTGAGCTTCTCTGCTATATCCGTCCGTTTGAAATCAATGGTATTATCCCCAAGAACAGGAGTTTCCTTTGATGCGAATGTACACTTATGATCCAATTCAATATTGGCTTGATAATGTGTAAGGCAAATCCTAAAGAACGTTCTACAGCTGGAGGTGCACATCCCTTCCGATCTATATCCATTGCAACAATTTCCAACATTGTTAAGTCCGTGGTCATTGCGGAACAGTCCAAGTTCCAACTGAAATTTACCGCTGGACAGTACCTGAAAACAAGACAAAAAGCAGATCCATACATGAAAACGTGTTATCAAGAGACAAATCACACTATTAGAAATTGGAAAAAATTCTCAGCCACTGGCATTCAATGTAGGTGATGTTAAACGAAGTAAATCAACTTGTAGTAAAATGTATAATCTCACCTGGGACACTAATGACAACAATTGTAAAGTCCAGAGTACGGCAAAGCTTGCCGCTTTCCGTGCCCGCATCGTTCTTGTTTACTGACCGCGCTTGCTACTTCTGTGTTTCTGATTATTGCTCCAGAACCTAGTAGCCTCGTTGTCGCTGACTGGCTCCGCCCACTATGGTTGATTGACAGGAGCACTAGAAGATATAGAGAAACAACTGATTAGCGCTCGACCACGTGGACGCGCTAACAATGGAGCGTGGCCGGCTAACTATGACACCTAGGTCCGAAAACTGACCAATGACCCTACCTCCTACCCAGGCCGTGGCGCCTATGGAGATGAGACTGGCGGGGGATGCGAGTATTGTAGTCTAAGCGTTTACTACGTGAAATTACTATGGTTGTAGTATAGAGTAAAATGCCCGGCGCAGCCACGCGACTGCAGCACACTGATAGGTTGGCTGTCGAGGGATTGAATGACCAAACAGTTCTGCGGCTGGCTTATAGTATGAGGGGATAGAAAGAATTACTCTGACCAATTAGCACCCTATGTGAGTGGAGAAAGATAAGCAATTGGTCGCCTTTGGAACAAAGCAGCACACTCGGCCACATGGATCCCGTGTGTAATTTCAGTCTGAGAGCCACGAGTACTTCTCCCCCTCGCCTGATATTCCATGGGTACGAACCTTCACCCCTGCCCCTCTCCCTTTGTCTGTCCCTCAAAAGGCAGCACATCTGTCCCCCAACAGGTAAACATCCTTAACGGTTACCGGTTGAATCTGGATGACATCATACAGGACAGTAAAGAGTATATACTTTTTTCTCCCCAATGCCCCTATCGTATGGAACCAGCGTAGTCTATTAGTAATGAAACACTTACAAAGTGAAGTTTTAAAAATCTACTCGATGATTTAAAGCAGTGTTATCGGAATACTTTATTCAAATTTCGGCACTGGCGCGTGCCCTTATCAAACCGGGAGCAATCTCCATTGTGGTTGATGAATAGGTACCCATAAAGGTGTCTTTGTACTGTCAGCTGCCCGGCAGTCTTGCACCTGCCTGTATTGTCCCCCCACACTAGCACGTGGACTGGACCTCCATATAAGGAAGATGGGCGCGTGCCACCTAGGCGACGTCCCCCTCCAGCCCACCTGGCCATGTGCAGTTATGTGGGGATCACTCACTTTTCTGACAATAGCTACGGTACACCACAAAGGCCCGCCATTCCTCTACACACATACCCTCACAATCCAACTGTGAACCTGTTCTCATACGATGGACGTATTCAGTCCTCAACTTTGGCCGTGTGACCCCGAATTTTGGCGCGCTTTTCACAGAACAGTTATCGTCATCACCTGCTAGCTGACAACCTGTCGGTGCCTTGTATTATATGTTCATAACCTACACCTGGCACGGAAAACTGTTAATAGGCTAAGTCAGGTTTTTTGCCTGCCCATTTACAAGTTTGGCGCGTAAATCAGAGAAAGACAGTTTTCACCGGTCCTCGACAAGAGAGGAGGGTACATGTTGGGTTGGAATGCATTATTAATGATGAAATACAAAGATATGATAATCAAGCTACAGGTGTATGGGTTGTGGCGCTCAGTGTTGAAATCACCGCACGTTGTGTGTCGCAGTATGTGACGCTTCACAGGTGATGGGTGATGGGCTTAATAAATGAGACTTTTAGAAACTGTTGAAATACATAGACACGCTAACATTGCTGTCTTCGTGACATTCGACAATCTTTACATCGATCATTTTTTCCTCTACTTTTCATTAACCATAATTGTTACCTTTACTTTCATCAGCCAATATAGTTTACCTGTACTCAAAAGTCATTTGTTCATCTCTAACATTAGTAATAATTGTCCCCTGTATTTTATACCTCTACTTAAGCAATATTTTCCATCTACTTCGCATAAGCCATATTTTATACCTCTACTTAAGCAATATTTTCCATCTACTTCGCATAAGCCATATTTTATACCTCTACTTAAGCAATATTTTACATCTACTTCGCATAAGCCATATTTTATACCTCTACTTAAGCAATATTTTACATCTACTTCGCATAAGCCATATTTTATACCTCTACTTAAGCAATATTTTACCTCAACTTCGCATAAGCCATATTTTATACCTCTACTCACGGACTTATATAGGTCCGTGCTCTACTTAAGCAATATTTTACCTCAACTTCGCATAAGCCATATTTTATACCTCTACTCACGGACTTATATAGGTCCGTGCTCTACTTAAGCAATATTTTACCTGACTTTGTATAAGCCATATGTTAGACCTCTACTCACGGACTTATATAGGTCCGTGCTCTACTTAAGCAATATTTTACCTGACTTTGTATAAGCCATATTTTAGACCTCTAAAGAAGATAAAGAACACAAGGATAAAGTAACAGACGAGGTCCAGGATGATCTAAGTTTGTCGAAAGGGTTGCACGAGGATCAGGTGGTCAAAATGTGTCGCCTCCAGGATGGTGTGTCATCGTACCCTGCCTGCGTGGATTTCGGCTCAGTCCACCAACTAGGGTTTGCCTGGTCCAGATTCGATAATTTCCAAGTCGTCGTGTCACATCAAATGTATTGCTGACTGGCGTAAAGTCCTACAAATACGGCCTTTACTAAATCATGTGTGGTAGTCCTGCACAATGACTGTGGTAAAATTTATTTTATGAAAACAAAATCAATCTAGATATATATACAAAAGCAAGTCTAGCCAGCTCTATTCCACAAATCAGCATCAGGAAAATTGTAAAAGATTTCATAGACTATATGATAGTCTAACACTGTTGGTGTAAAAAACTATATAGGTATAAAACAATATACTGTACAAAATAAGTTCCATACACACACTATCTCTTTCTTAAAGCTAACACACAAACGTTAGTTAGAAATAATTATTTAATTAACGATACACCTTCCAGGTTCGACATTACAGAAAGATCACATTCTCATAAAATTAACACAACAATGGGGCCTGTCGTTGATACCAGTGACGTCAAAACGGAGTGTATCAAACTTTCACGCGCACCCAATGAACGAAAAAAATATCTATCAATGGTCGGATAAAAATAGCCTCACATCATCTCCATGGTTACAAGGTATGCTATTGTGTCACTTTGTTATTGTGATGATACACTATTCTTGAACATCGCTTCTTTAAAAAACTGTTAATGAAATCAATGAACAAAACATTTATTAACTCAAATTACAAATGTCAATTATTTCAATTTCAAGATGGATGTAATATTCATTACATTATAAAAATCATAAACAAACAGAGATTAGTATTTATTACCTGACCTTTTCTCACCTCTTTTTCTAGTGCACATAAAAGCATTTTAGAACAAATTTGACACTAAGGCTTAAAAAAGTTCACAAGTGTTAACTCAAATATGATTGTATTATTCCACCTTGGTTCGCTGAACAAATCGTTGTGAAATAATAATCACTAGTTTTCAAACGCCTTCAACACCTGTTCAGGTGTTTCGACTTTAAAGTGGGAAAGTTCTCAAAATATTGGAGTCCATAAACTGACAAACAAAACAAACACCATCCCTCTGCATTGTTTTTTATGAACTCGCACATCATAATAAGCTTTCACCGAGTTGACACACCTGTAGCGCTAATGAGAAAATATTGAAGTAACAGGTGAAACGGTTGTCAGTGAGGGACGGGGGGAAAACCCTCGAGAGTTCGTTTATGAAAATATTGAACTTAGTTTGACACCTTGATCAGAAAGATTCATTAATGTTGAGGACAACATATAGACTTAGTGATTAAGCTTTGACAAGGTGATATAGCGAAAAGAGAGAAGTGTGACTGTCCGTATCCCATGTGTAAACACATTACACCTGCGGTGTTAAAGATGTCACCATTTGAAAAGAGTTTGGCGCGAAAGCATTTATATGGACGGCAAAATATTTGAATGATACCTCTAGATACTATACGAGAGCACAGGTGCATGACCATATACCGATTCATATGTGTCTTTATCCAGGTAGATACATAGATAATATTTATATACCTGTCACCTACCTTTAAAAAGCTGATATCCTTAATTTTGAGTAAGATTAATGTTTCCTAATTTGAAGTTTCTTAGGAACCTGCATGTGTTTAGGAATATGCTTGGTAATGTTTTAGTGGCAACGAGTGTCGCGTGCCGTTAATGTAATAATTTTTCGCGCCACCTCCGAGATTCTCATTTGCATATAGGTGCGACATGGTTAGCCACAGAGCGTAACATTGCTCAGTGTCGGGACCTGATATGTTTTTCAGGAAGGTCGTCCTATTCACTCGCGGCTGTTTCCGCACCTGTCTATGTTCAACCGTATTCACAGCCCTAACTGGGGGATGAGACGGGGGACACCAACAAAATTTGTAAAATTCGCAGATTCACTTCTAAAATTGAACTAGATACGCATGCGCAGTGCTATCGACTTTTTTTTTCACTAGAGGCAACCTAGGTTTAGTGCAAACTGGGTCAACCGTTTGTGAAGCAGGCTGATTGTGAATTGTATTCAAATACACCTACATGTACTTCAGAGAACATCTACGAGATTGCACATAATTACTTTCAGCTATCGTTTCTACTGGAGTGTTTTTTAAAATATTTCTTCGCCACTTGCTCGGAGAAGTCTTTTGTTCAAGATGTACATAGGCCCCGCAGTTTGCCACGCGCCAAGCTCGTGTCGCGTGTAGCATGTCATTTCGCTTGAGATATAATTCATCAGAGGCGGGATCCTTGGAGTTGTTTATCTTAGGGTGAGGGAGCGAATGGCTGCAGACCGGTCCGTGTAAGGCGGGATCGGCTCACTTCAGTTTAAACATCTGCTCCTGATGACAGTCTCGTACTGATAACAACTAGTTTTCAGTCTAAACCGTAATAGCGCACCTGGCGACTTCAAAGAGATTTTTACCCAAAAGCACAGGTACACACTGACAAGATAGATTTTCAGCTAACGGCGCATTGGTATGTCGCGTGGATTGGTAGTATCAAGATATTAAAAGAGTTGTCACTCAAAGGAATTATTTTCTAACCGAAACAAGTGCATGGGGGGAGTTCCTCAGAACAACTACCTCATCGTGAAGTAATTTCGTAAAAAAAATAAAGCGTCGTAAACTCGTCAAAGAAATACGTCTCCAGAAAATTTAAATTAACACCTTGCATTCTGCAA